AAGCAGCCAGGGTTAATTGGTGTCAAAAAAACGCTTGACCGTTTCAATTCCGGAAACTCAAAAAATGTGTACAGCATTGTTAGTGGTGATAAATCGTGGATTTACTGTTATGTTACCAGAAAATAAACGACAGTCGACTGTTTAGGTGTTCTAAGGTGAAGAAAAGCTAACAAAAGTCATCCGTTCTCGAAGTGTATCGAAACAGATGGTCGCGACATTTGTGTCAAAAGCGAGTCATATTGCAACAATTCCTCTTAATGAGCAAAAAACTGTTACTGCGGATTGGTATACCACCATTTGTTTGCCAAAGGTAATCACCGAGCTTCGAAAAATCAACCCCGAAAGAATAATCATCCTCCACCAAGGCAATGCAAGCTCGCACATAGCCCAAAGAACAAAGCAGTATTTAACGGAAGAAAACGTGTAATTATTTTACCATCCTCCATATAGTCCCGACGTAAGTCCTAACGATATCTTTACTTTTCCGAAAATTAAAAACAGACTGCGTGGTCAAAGGTTCCACTCACTAGAAGAAGCAGTTGACGCATTCAAAAATGCCGTTTTGGATCTGCCAGCAAACGAGTGGAATACGTGCTTCGAAAATTGGTTCGAGCGCATGCAGATGTGTATTAATCTTTGTGGAGAATACTTTGAAAAACAATAAAGTCATTTAAAACTACCTACCGTGTTGTTTTATTTCCATATGGAAACTTAACTAACTCGTATGCCAAGGACGGCAGAGAAAATGTCTTGATAAAAAAATAAATCGCACAAACTTCATTGTTTGACGTTCCAGAGGATCCTCATTATCTTTGAAAAACTCTTTAGGAATAAAAACTGAGGGATAGGGAATTGTAGGGGGCCGAGAAAGGTATATTTTAATTTTATAATGTTAGTATATTGATACACACCCAGTTCGGGTAATTTTACGCACCTAGACATATTTCACGCCTTAAAGGTTTACCCGTACATATTTGCTCCTAAAACTTGGAACAATATTTCCAGCAGGCTTCTATCGGTCGCACTAGCTGTGCGTCAGGTGTTTTTAATATCACATCTTCGGTACTCGATCCGAGCGAGACCGATAAAAATAGGTATGAAGTGGTGCGGCGTCATGCGAAGTGGGCGCGATATTACGAGTATTATGAAAGTTATGCTTGGACTGTAATTTAATGAGGTTGCTTGATTTCGTGAGGTGATATAATATAGTATAAAAATATAGCTGTAGTACCTAGGAAAAGCTATTATTATCTGTTATCATTGTTGGCAAGCAGTTTTACACCAGATCTAGGTATACATAAACGCTACGAGAATTTGTTTTCATATAAAGGCCAAATGGTGCATTACTGGTACTGACAAAACCTACGTATTTTTGATATTGTTTCAAAGGCGTGGGAAGAAGTCAATCTACTTCATCATCATTCTTGAATGTAAACAAGCAAATAAAGAATTTCCTGAAATATGCACACGTGCACAAGCCGGCATGCCAAAGGAGCAGTCCGTATCTGATTTTATAAGTTATTCAGTGTGAAAGCACTAAATTATTTGCCGGAGAAGTAGCAAAAGAATTTATTTATGCTGGCGAATAAATCACTGCAGTTGGAATGCGAATGTTACTATTTAGTGAGAGATATGCTTAATTACAGCCAATTCATTGCAAGCGGTGTACGATTTTTTCACACTGCATGAAATTTACACCATGCCGAGAAGTAACACATTAAAGAGGTGAAGGTAAACATTTTTGCCTTGAAAAAAAATCAGGTTAGATATATATGTTTACTGTACCTCTCACATGGCACTAGTATCTCAAAGACTGTCAGAAGTATCCTCACAAATTCTTATCGCATGTGTAATCCACTCAATCAATAAATTAATGCTTCGATACTGCACAAACAAGGCAGCATTTAGCGGCTGCAGTGGTGACCCGGCTATCAAATGCGAATGGATATATTTACAGTTCCAACTGATAGCTGATACTATCTCAGTATTCGATTCTGGTAATAGACTTAACATACTTCGACAGACTACAAAAGTTTCACACTTACTAAGAAAACTACGTAAAATGATGTCTGTTAAGGAAGAAAGATAGTTTCGATACCTTTATGAACAGCTAACTGCAACATAAATGAAACCCACGGATGTCACTGACAAAACATCGTCGCCATATAAAATCGACGTAGTAGAATTAATTGCCAATACGATACATCTAAACATGCATATTGCACACTTTGCAATAATGTACGTACGGAGGGTATGACAAAGTGCATCATTAAAGACAGTTTACAACTTCCCAGTAACGCTGGGCGTTATCTATCCAGCCAGTTAGGCTGAGGCCACACCAAACATGATAGGCCTAGGGCAAGAGCTGGAGAATATCTTCCAGCGAACAAAAGTAAAGTTTGCATAAATGTAAACGCCCACTCTGCGCCAGTGATGCCAACTGGTCAAAAAATTATCCACGAAGCTTATTTTAAAATCTCATAAACACAAATTAAAATACCCTTACTTCGAATGTATGAAAAGTTTAAATTAATATTCTCTATTTCACTGCACATTTTTTGTTGCTTGATTAAACAATAGAATTAAATTTTTACAATTATATTAAAGAATTCTAGTAAATTTAGCATAATAATTATGATATAACTAAAATTCTGAGTTAAGAAATCATTTTTTACTCCCTAAAAAATACCATATAAAAATTAACTCCTATAAAGTCCTCTTTTTGTTTTGTCCTACAAAATTGGAGGAAGGTCCTCCAAGTTGGCATCACTACCCTGCGTGTTGGAAAGCACGCTAGGCGTTTCGATGGTCATGGGGCATGTATTCTGGAAAACCAATGTGTCTGTGTCGTCGCTAGCTCTAGTCCTAGACGCAATCTAGGAAAAATATAAGATTACAGTAATTAGAGCATTATAATAGATGATTAAGCGAAGTATTGATGGTAGCTGCTTCCAAATGAATCCACTGTTGTAACCGCCTATGGCAATGTACAAAAACCTGCAAGTCTAGAAAAAACCTGAAACTGTGTGCTTCACAATTAGCGCCATTGACATTGATTGATTTGACAGCAGCATTTGATCAACTTACTACCTACAATCAAAATACTCCAACTTGACCTGTGTGATAGCTTTACTCACACGTAGCATTCTCAAAAATCTTTTTTCCATTTGAACTGCTTTTTGCAGAAAGGAACCAACCCAGAAAAACAATTATTGAGCAGTTAGGCTTTAAAGTTTTGACAATGATAACAAATATCCATTCCAGAAAATACACGATTTCAATTAATGGCATACTAAAGGCTTTAAATATGTTTGTGGATCTTTTGTAAAGTAAGTAATAGTTCATTTTCCTAAAATCTAGATTTTTCATATTTAGTGGGTTGGTTCCTTTCTGCAAAAAGCCGTCCATTTATAAATATTTTTTTAGTGCTTTGGGATATACGTTTGCTGTGATATATGATGAATTTATTAATCTCAGATCAAATTACTATTGACTACTACTAATCTAAAAGCCTATGCTTTTTGAACTAGCAGAGTGTCATTTGAAATCACAAAAACCATAACATCCATTTTTCGTAAAACGGAGAACCTGATCAGAACAAAATTACTCTCAATAGCAAAATGTTACCGTGTCTATGTTTACCACCTGCAATGTAGCTTCAGCCTTAGAAACGGAAGAACGGCATGTGACGAGCAATGGCCGATGCCTACACAGAGCTTGTCATGTCACTGGATGCCTGTGTCTCTACTTTGACTTTTGCCATCATCATTACGAGGCGTAATAACTCACTAATAATTATATTAAACACAAGACCATAAAAATTTATTACAGGCATAAATATCGCTTCGTTGTTGCTACAGCTGACCGGGCGGTTGTCCCAGCATACTGTACAGGGTGAACACACGTAGGTATAGGTTTATAGTCTGCCGTTCCTCGAGCCGGGCTGTCCGGTTTAATCACATGTCAACAATAACTTCGAAACTATGAAGGAGGGCACTTTCACGCTTTAAGGACTGACATTAAGATGACACTTTCTGTCATACTAGTTGATAATGACAAAAGATACATAAACAACTATTTGGTACTCTTGTCTGACCTATTTTTGAGAAATCGTGAATTAGTTAAATTTGATTTGTCAAAGTAGATGGACCGACAAAGATGGAAGCTCGAAAATTTTACTCTTATGATCATTTACATAATTCTCCGAATAGAAGGGAGGTTCTGTGACATGTTTTGTGTTAATGAGCGCCCAATCTCCAAAATGGTACAAACATTTTCTGTATTTAATTAAAAGCTATGTATCGACAAAAAACCTCTATGCGATGGACTGACTTAAAAATGTCACGGATTGACTACTGGGGCTGGAAGTTAGTCGAAGACAATGGAAACACAGAAAGAATATAGATATTTTGAGTATTTTGTAATTGGTTGGGAGATGATACCTAAACAAAAAGAAGTGTGAGATTTTTCTAGGAGTCGCGGAAAATGTGACTGGTAACTCCAATCTACACCCATTCTAGCCATGTTTGTTGCAAAAATCATAGCTTATTAACCTCAGACTAAAAATATAAATAGACTTACCATTCTTACGGCACTGTAATGCATGAAGACAAACAAACCCAATTCAAAACAAATACAAACAATAAGCTGTGTATGTGCAGACCACAGCTGATTCCACCAGTGGCGTAGGTGCTTTTTTTTGTAATGGTGTTCTGGTTAATACACCCAGTATCACCTTCCATGGCAGTGAAAAGAATAAACACAGAGAAGTAAACAAGGTTTTATTATTGGAACTTAATTATCAGGTTTATTGTTTCATAATACCTAGTACAAAGGTATATAAACAAGAGAGAGGGTATTATGTAAATAATAAGAATTGAGCAGAAAATTTCCTGCCCAGAGTATGAATACCAAAAAAAATAGTAAGAAAATGATAGTAACCATGATCAAAAGTTGTATATAAAAAAATATATAAACAAACAGAAAAAGAATAAATAATTGGCGCATCAATTTAAATATTCTGTCTTGATATTGAAGGCACAAAAAAACTATTCATTCCTTAATAAAGATCTTAGCTTAAATAGTTCCCTAAAGTATTTAAAGTTTGTATCATAAATTCAACTCAGTCGTTTTATTTAGGCAAGCAAAGACACAGATTTGGTTCAAACGATCTGACAGAATATGCTCTCTCAATGGATTGTATAATAGACATTCCACTAGGAGATGTCCTAAAGATTCGGTCTTTCGAGTATTACATATTGTACAATAGTCTGTTTGGTCAACCCTGTATGAAATATTGTTTAGGAAGATTTTGAGACTACATTTATTGTGGATCTTAAGTTGGATTATAAATAGTTTTATACATAACGGTATACTTGGGGATTTAGCATACTCTGTAGACTCTGATAGCCATTTTAGCCATTTAGCGCGTCAAAAACTTCTTGTATTGATATATGCTGATCCAGATATGGATGTAAAACATCTAAAAAGCTAAAGTCAACATTGGGGGTAGGTTTATACATTATTTTATAGTAGTCAATCCATGTTTGGAGGTTTATTTTATTTGGTTTAGTGCATATTTCAGTAAAACAATTCCTTTGGACTTGTCACTCTCCCTTAGTCATTATTTATAATTCATTTTATAATTTTGCTTTTCATTTTTTTGTAATTATCAGGTTTTATTGATTTTGAAATAATATACTTTTTGTGAGTAATGATCGTACACGTTTTGAAGGGGCATTCAAGTTAGAGGTATAATGGTACAACTTAATGGTAAAATATTGTTCTAAAACTTGTTTACAGAGCAATGGAAAATGATTACTTAAAGGTTCATCTTCGAATACATGGTCCTTAAACACATTTCCGAATCCAAGAGGTAAATTTTGCAATGTATAATTTGTTAATATTTGTAAAACTCTTGTCATATTTTTTTGCCAACTTCTAACCTTTCCTTATATAACCTAAAGCAATGTTCTCCATATTTACACACATTTATTACAAAAGCGGAGGCTTTAACTAATTTTCCATACGTTTTTCTTATTTGTAATTTCGATATAGACTCTCCTGAAGTTTCTAACAAATCTAAACAACTCTGGCATTTTATAGACTTTTTTAGCCTCTTCACAACAAAACCTGCAACATATGCAACAACATCTTCCAGATACAGTGTAAGCTGCCAAGGACTTATTCGAAGAAAGTTTTTAAATTGTGTAAAATCTTCATCTTCCTCTATACTGTTTGATGATGAGGTCATATCCTCACTAATTTTGATCTCTAAAGATGATGATGAACAGTGCAAAATGGATGTGCTATCTAATGCCACGACATTGGATGCTTCATTGCCACTTATTTCAGTATGAAGTAATAATTTTTTTAAAATATTCTGAAACTGCTTCGAGGTAGGATTATTGCTGTATCCTCCTTTGCTTCTTATACAACTGAAGAAAATTTCCAAATGATCTTGAGATAACTTATATGTGAGAAGGTACTTCAGCTCTTTGGTTTCTTTGACTCTATATTCATACAGGCCCTTTAAACTGTTTATTGAAATTATGAATCCCAAAAATCCTAATTTTCTTCTAGAAAGTATAACTCTAGTGTCTCCTAATTTTAACGATTTCAAATAATCCTTCGCTTCTTCTAAGAAATTGAAATATTGTTCAGTAGCAGGTGACAACGGTTTCTCATAAGGTTTTTTTGACATCCTATTCCTTGAATTAAAAACATCAAATAAATTGTTTACTGTTCTACAAAAATATGCTGTAGCTTCTGAATCCTTGAAGTCAGCCATAGCCAGATCTTTGTTCAAAAAGTCCAATGCTTCTGCAACACTCTTGCTCAAAGTCTGGACGGCAAGTTTAACTTTCATCTTTTCATTCACCCATTGGAGATGTTTTTTCCTCAACTTTGTTGCCGCATGCATTCCAGTATCTTCTTGCAACTTAGCTATCTTTTCTAAGAAGGTCCATTGGATTTTTTCTTCATTTCCATCAGTCAGTATTTTGAATGTCCCAAAGCAGTTTCTTATCAATTTGACCATATGGCAAGCATCAAAAAATATAAAGACAGGGTCTTTTGTGATTGGGTGCAAAAAGTAAGATTTGAAGTCGCCTTCCACGTTAAAATTTGCTCCCAACACGTTGCACATCGCAACATTTGAGGGCGCTCCATCAAATGTAATTGATGTAACTGTGACACCTGATGAGTGGACGAACTCTAAACAGTGCTCTAAAAGATTGGCTTTTTCTGCGCCAGTGAGTCCATTAATGAGAAAATAGCCAACTGGTATCTTCCAAGAACAATTCAGTGCAACTAGCATGAATACTAGCGCCTCTCTTGCCTCTTCGACAGTGTCTCCAGTGTCACCTGCATCACCAATGCCTAGGTCCACGTATCCGTACGTTCGCTTCCCATCCCACTCTACTTTCTTCATTATGCACATTTCGTCAAAAACTAGATTGCAGAGGATCTCTTTTTCTTGGTTTCTGGCTTCTGTGACTTTTATTTTCAGTGCTTGTAAAGCCTCTGTCAAAAATCCGGGAGACCCATTAACTGTTGCATACCACTTAGTTATGGTACTGGTGTGGGGTAATATTTTATTCAATTTTGTTCGTACATAGTTGTACGCCTTTTTTGAATAAAAGTGTAAAGTTAGCGCAAAACGACGCAGTTCTGCACTATATTTTTCTTTTTTTCGGCCTCTTTGAATTTTGTTAAAAATGTCTTCTGCAATGGAGCCCTGAGAAATGAGGATTTTTAACAACAATCAAAAAATAAACATATAATCACTTACATCAAGCATGTGTTGAGCATTCTCCGATATCATATTTATTTGCTTCAAATGGTTTGTCAATGCTTGAAGAGACCAAATTTTGTTTGCTTGTCTTCTTGATTTGGCTCGTAAACAGTCAATTGTCTTTCTTTGTTTCTTATACGTGTTTTGAATGACTTTCCAGCAAATTGGCCTTTTAAGTGGGTTTTCCAAATCAGTATAACGTATATCGCCGAAGTATCGAATAGGTTTTGTTTTCATTCTGAAACATTCAAAGCTTAAATGCTACTATAAAGCAAACGCCAAATCTACATAAACGTCACCTTTTATCAAATCTTTACTTCAGGTTTAATTACTACCAGACTATACTTGAAGAATCAAAATAAAAGCTTAATACCTTTTCCGTGGAGGTTCACCATCACTATCATTTTCTTTGAGGTTATCTTCCTCATTGTCACCTTTTGCTTCTATGAATGTGTTTAAAATCCTGAAATAATGAAAATACAATGCACCAAAATAAAGACTGATATTAGCTGGCTGAACTTGAAAATAAAAGTAGTTAGGTACGTACATCATATCTAATTCTGAGGCATGGGTACGGGACTGTGGTGTCACTGGGATACTTCCAGTACCTGATTGTGAAGCACTTAATGTAGCGGATTCAGATAATGACTGGGTACCTGACAGCGAAGCTGATAGGGTGCTACTATCTGTTGTTCGATCTTGTTCAGGAAAACTGTATTCACATACCATTTCTGTTGCTACTTCTGGTGACTTTATTTGTTCTCTGTAAACATTTCAATAGTCAAACTTCTAGATACTTAGGAGATTATTTAATTTCATACCTAGGTAGATCCCTGCTTTCCAGTTGTTCACTATTTGAATGGCTTAGGGCAATTTCCTGGGCAAGATTGATTTCATTCTCCTCATCACTGGAATCACTTTAAAATAGATAAGTAAAAGTATAGCAACAAAATATTCCATTTCATCCAATAGCTAAATATAATTAAGGACTTACTTTGTTTGCCTCAAAGGCTCTACTGATGGAACTGCTGAATGCTTTAGTTGAGTTCTTTTGCCTTCTATTAAATCACTTTTGTGAAAATGATTTGCGCAAATAAAGGCATGAAGTGGTAAATCATTTATGTCAATATTGAGGACAGTGCACCATTCTTCTTGTTTTCTCTTATCACTAGGAAACCTGAAAGATCAAAAACGTGTCTAACAGAAGAGTATTTTTTGAAAATCACCACACATACAGTGTAAAAACAACCAATAACTATAAAATGTCTATTTCTTAATACTAAAAATCACAACGCATCCCCATGCGCTACGCCCTTGTCGTCCTCTAACCTCTAACTCACCTGTGGAAGGTTGCCTCAGTTTTTTCACTGCTAACTCCACAAAGAATGCACTTACGACGTCCCATTGTCTTTGAAAATTGTCTATCAATGATAACAATGCTATAATTGCCGCTAAAACAACCTGAAAACACTTTTGAATACTCGCAACAAATTCACTGTGCACAACAACCAACACCAGATGTTTGTAAATTCTGTGTACGCATCCACCACTTGCCGTTGAACACCGTTGCCACGTTCGGCAAAAAGTCGGTAGAAATGTGCTACTTTCGAATGAAAGCAAGTTTCGTCCAAGGTGGAACAAATCCAGTCAAACAACTGACTGGGCAAAATATTATATGTAATGTTCGCTGTGAATTACCCAACATGAACCTGCATCCATTTTGAATTGAATTTACGGCGTGTCGGCCACCTCTGTGAGCGTTTTTGCGAGTATAAACAAATATGAAAAGAAAAAATAAATTTTTAAAATTTAAAATGACGTTGACAACTGCCTAGGACCAGTTGTTTGATCGACCCACGATCGACCGGAGCGTCCACACCTTATTTAAGTCCACCTTCATTTCGGGCGGAGTGCACACCAATATCTCATTCCATTTTCAATAGATTTTTCAGTATGGAGAAGTGGCAGCTTCGCATATATTTGTTTACCGTAAATACAGTTATGTGGACGACGATATTTTGTAGGGAATTATTTGTCTATTTATATTTTTAGTCTGAGTTATTAACCTTGTGATGAATAGCTGAAGTATGTGCTTGATTGCAAGTAAAGTTTTATGTAACATAGAGACAGTACAATTCCGAGATAGCGCCTATTTTGCTATATACCATGCCTTGAGATAGCCGATCATGGATGCTTTCTTCGATCTATCTACAAAAATTGATGTACATGCCTGCTTGCAAAGTACTGCTGTGACAAAAATATGGATCCAATTAGTCATGCTAGAAAAGGCTACTAATGTGGAGCTGAATCATTATACACATATGCTTTAGATCAACAGCGTAGGAGCTGCTAGAAAACGAAGTCATCTGAAATAGTAGGTGCTTTAAGGTCAGAAAATTCTCTACCATCTGAGAAACTTGGGAGGCCATACAATGAAACATTGTTACGAAGAGTGGTAGTATTGATTAAAAATGTTAATCCTTGATACATTACCAGACGTCTGAACTCTTAAAATACGCGCTACGTCTCATAAAAGTGATATTTCAAGTAACGTTAACAGTTGTATCATTGCACAACATGCTGCTGAAACAGTCCAAGTAATTGGAATCAAGCCAATGTCTAGGACTAGTTCTTACAAAAGGTTTTTTCGTGAAATAGTTCACATCAGTAAAATCGTTCTAATAATCTTAATTAAAGGTGAGACATCAGCAATTTGAGAAATTGGAAGATGAGAGAATTGTGAACATTCCATTTTCTCAAGAATAGCTTTTCCTCCAAAACCCTGAATTATCTATTAGATAAAATTTTCTATTCCCAGGTATGCTGGGTGCTCGGACATACCTATATGAAATATGACGTTTGGTGGGTTACGGTGAGGAGAGGTAGTCCGGTGGGTCATTATGGACTCCCTCCCAATTTTTTGGGGGGAGATTACAACGTTGCGTGGGAGGAGGAGTCAACCTACGCTATTTTTTGCCTACGACGTGCGCAGAGTTTGATCTAGTTTGCCCCACTATGCACTTCGCTTCCGAAGAATAGACTTGCATATGCTTGATATCTGTCTTTATTGGTACTATGCATAGTACGACCTAAGTACTTTTCATATTGCTCCGGTTATTACCCACTGAGATAGCTTATGGCAATCACACTGTACAAAACCGAACCATGCAGACAATAATAATCGCTGCATATCTCGGACTGTCAAAAAGTAAGTTATGGTTACAATAACTCAATCACGACCCGAGACTTTTATACCGAATCGAAGAGGTCTCGGTCTGCGCGCGGTACGGCCGTCCGCGTGAGCGAGCGCAAAAATCCCATTCCTGGAAGCAAAAAAAATCGCGTCGCTCTCCACCGTGAAAAAAACCAATCGGCCGCGCGCGCGCATGGGACAATATAAATATTTTGTTTATGCATTCACCAACAAAAATTATGTTGACAAGTAAACAAAGGCGAGATAAGTCCTGATATGCTGAAAGGTAACCTCGCAAGTTATAGCTAACCTCTGCGAGTGTCGCCCAAGCTAAACAAAAGACGGACGATCCGACGATCACGATCAAGGCTAACTAGATGGTCCGCTGGCCTGGATGTGGACACACGTAGACACACTATAGACTTAATGGCGGTGTTGCCGACCGATGGAAAAAATTGGAATAGTGGCCATTGACTAGGCTTAGGTTTGTTCGATATTGAATTTCGGAAAAGCTACCTACACATCTGAGTCTGGTGAACCGTGAGATGATTAGCTGTCAGCTGACTGAGAAGGTGGTTCCTAAGATTGTGTGAATCACCTTTCAGGACCAGTAACATTATTTTGTTGTACAGAAACGAGAGCGGTGAAGATCATCTTTACAATCGCCTAAAGGTGGAATGGCATTCAGCATCTTCACTTGAGTCGGCACAGGACCACGTCGAGTGGGAATAATATGCTTGTTGACAACCAAAAATTCTGCAAACCCCTTTTGGCAGAAATTCACAACTGTAACGAAAAAATAACACAACAGAATACAATCATACTGCATATAACGTCAATATGATTGTAACTCAACAGCTATGAACTGAACGTTTGTCGAGCATGGCACACTGCAAAAATGATTCGTACTGTTCACCATCATTTTTCATTGTAAACAATTGATTGTTGAAATATTGATAGTGGCATGTTTTGTTCAGACATTATGAGAAGAATTACTTTTTTTTAGCTGTATGCATGTCAAATTCACACCCCGTCAAAAGAAACATGAGTATCTAAGGCCCGCTAGCGAAAAGGATTGCGAGAACTTGATCATCACGGCGTAAATAGAATTTGAATATATTACAGTTAACATACATGGCAGAATTACATGAATAAAAGACTTATCATTTAATCTTTCTTATAGATGCAGGTGTAACCAAATTTTCTTACAGCAATGAGCTGTTATGATTAGACACTTTAATGGAAACTACATGCGGTTGAAAGGGTCAAATGGCGTTAGCCTTTATCAGTGATGTTTGGAAACCAGTTAGTTCCTTTTCACCAGCTTTAATACAGAAAAATAAACAACCTTTCGTCGCCGTTCTTGAAAAACTTTGTGGCTGACTTCCTTTCTGGCAGCAAAATGACCGTCGTAGTTGACAGGTTGCCCTCTTCATCCCGCGATGGCATTGACATTCTCCAGGTTGCGGCATTGTTCCTCTCACATATCAACGACCTTGTTCACCGTATGATCAATCCAATTCGCAGATTTGCTGATGATTGCACTCTAAATGCAGGAATTCAGAGTGACGAGCCGATATCTGCAGGTGATCTGAAGAAGAGGCGGATAGCAGCGACTTCCTCTTTGACGATAGAGATAAGGAAGTTATCACTGCTTGGGGACGCAGCAATTTGGTACAGTGTAATGCTGTACCTTGATTAACAAGAAGCGCCTCAGCGCTCATCCGGTTACGATGAATGGCCGAGTTCTGCCAAAGAGCCGTTCATTTTGGCTGTTCGGAGTCCAGATCAGCGAGGACTTGATCTCGCACGAACACATATCAATAGCATCACCTGCTGGAAAAAACTAGGCTATTTGCTTACGGCTAAAGAGTATATTTCTCCAAATAGTCTCCTCATTCTGTACAAGTCCTAGATAAAATCTAGCATCGAGGGGGTGCTGCCGCCCGACTACATTGTCCAAGCTCGACGCAGTTTAGAGGAGGGACTGATCGACGACTCTTTCCTCTAGACCCTTTAGCATCGACGGGACTTTGGCAATAAAACCTTTTTCTGCCGCTATGTCAACGGGATTTACTCCTCCGAGCTACCAGACAGACCTGCCTGACTGAGGCCTCCCATCCTAACCTTGCCAAACTTGTTACATCTAGAACTGGCAGATACGACAGCTCCATTGTCACTGGGGTATCGAGATTGTGAAACAGTCTACCTAAATAGCTTTTCACAGTTCTACTAATCTCAGGCAGTTCAAAAATTCTGTTGACAAAGTTTCTGTAAGCCTCTCATAACAGCAGCATATCTTTATCAGTAATAGTAAAGTGGATAATTGTTGGGACTCCTAATAATTTAATGAAAATGCCTTTGGACACATACTCACAGATGTAGATGCAATGAATTGTTGAAAGTAAAGTGAAAAGCGAGGTATTAGGAAGAAGACAATTTTCTTGGATAGGTTGTTAAGAACTCGACCATATGAGTTTGAATGCACGAAGCAATAAAGTTATTGGAAAGCGCACTTGTCACCGAACACCCAGAGTTTTATGTATACCCTGCCTAATGGTAACATATGATAAACATACCGCGATAGATAGGATCTCGGAGAGCATATCTCACATCCTCAGTACTCAGTATGGTACCATTTCCGCTAGTGGCAACCCCGCTTGATCGTGTCTCGTTTTCGATTTCGTTTTTCACTGTTTCGCGCTCTGCTCGAACCTCCGAGATGCTTAATCAAATTTTTCTGGTATTCCGCCTTTCCAGTCGGCCAGAGAATTCCATTATTTATGTGTATGTGATAATTCGTATTTAGCTGCTCACGATATGGAATCTCGAGAGTTGCGAGTGTTTGAGAAGCGTGTTCTCTCTTCAATAAAAACTCGGACGTCATTTACATGCATGCGTGCCGATAGAACCGCGACTTGTGGCTATATCTGATCTAGAGATTTATTCGCTGTTGCTGGATACCGCGCATGGGAAGCATTGAGCTTATTCACTTAGCGTAAATTTATACAATGTACTGAGCAGGAGTTAGTCAGGGCGAACGAATTCATACTAGGTAGAAGGAGCCAGTCAATGATTTGTTTTGTCGCCTGATTCTCACTGTTTGTGACCTCATTAAGGCATGTGTCTCCGACCAGCTCCCTCTAGAAAAGTTGTCCAAATATGGTGCAAGAGGTCTTGAGATGAAATTACTTCAAGCCTACCTGCCTAGGGGGTGACGTTTCAGATACGGGAGGAATACCCGAGAGCTTTGTTTTGAGACCAGTGCTCTTTATGAATTACATTAATGACTTGCTTAACTTCCTATTACCCAAGAGAGCTGTCACATGTGATGTCCTTCAAAAGCCAACTGTCTTTGACTGCATATATAGTCCTGAAACTAAGGAAACTAGTAAATGAGCCATCCATTCTCTCTTCTACAGTCATATTAGCTACGGGAGAAGCCTGTGGGAAAACACTTCATCGGCAGTGGAAATTTTTTTGATTGCAGAAAAATGTCATTCGTTTGATTGTGGGTGCCGGTTATCGCGCCATATTTTATCAACCTA